TGTTTGTTGGAGCCAAAGACGTGTTCAGATGCATCCTGTGGGTCTGAATGAAGACCAGAGCTGAACAATGTGCACAGATCCTCACCTTCCATACATGTCCTGGTTGTTCCTCTGGCCTCGCTCCACCTCTCCTCCACAGGTCATGACATGTGAGCTGCTGGTTCTGCTGGAATCCTGCTGACAGACAAACAGCACTGATCTCAGAGCTCAGCTCTCAGCTGGCAGAGAAACACTGAGCTGGTTTCCTGTAGATGGAGAGGAGGAGCAGCACTGAGCAGGTGAGCAGCAGCATGAGAACAGGGAGGAAACGCTGCAGCTGTCGCTGACTTCACACTCAGTCGCAGGAACAAACCTGATTGTGGAGGCCGGTGAGAGGCTCAGTACCTGAGTCCGGTTTCTCTCTGAGGACTTTCTTCAGGTTTCACTTCTGTGGACACAAAGAGACTGAATGAAAACAAACAGGAGCTTGTGTGTTACTTTGACTTTTATTCTTTTATGAGCTCACAGTCAGTGCTGCTGGTTTTCCTCTCAGACTGACTGAAGGCCACAAGATGGATGTTTGTGAGGAGGAGGAGGAGGAGGAGTTTCCAGCATCCAGCCGTCTGTCTATGAAGACTGACTGGTCCAAAGGAAGTCCTCGAGTCTTCAGTAAAGAATCAGAACCTTCAGACACAAAGTAAGAGAACTGCCTCTAACTTATTCCTACGACTCCTCTTTATCTCCATCTCTCAGTTATATTCTGTGTCCTGATGGTTGGTTGTAGTCGGTCTATTAAAGAACTCTGAAAAGGTTTTTGTGACACAGATAGAAAACATTTGTCCTGTTTTCCTCTCAGCACCTCTGACAGTACAAAAGCTGTGATCTGATCAAGGAGGACGACTGCAGACATGAACCATCTCATCATCTGCACTTTGTGTATTTAGAGCTGTGATCAGAGGATTGATCAGTGATTGATGAGAAAACAAACGTGTGTTTCAGCAGACAGAGAGCATCCAGCCGTCTGTCTATGAAGAGTGACCGGTCCAAAGGTTTGCCGCTGTGCTTCAGTAAAGAACCAGAACCTTCAGACACAAAGTAAGAAACNACTCCACGCAGAAAGATTCCGGTGCCCCCACCGGGACGCGATCCGACAACCTTCTTGCTGCGAGGCAACAGTGCTACCAACTGCGTCACCTTGCAGCCCGGCTTTAGACTTATGCCAATTAATTTTGTAGCCAGAAAGCACGGAATATTGATCAGTTACCTCTAGTGGGGTTGTAATTGAGTTTGTAGGATCTTTACTCAGTACTAAAATGTCATCTGCGTACATAAATAATTTGTGTTCTCTGCCTCCCCCATACACGCCTTTAACTCTTGAATTTTCTCTGATTTGGATGGCTAGTGGCTCTAAAAAATAGTGAATAAGAGCAGACTTAAACTACACCCTTGCCGGGTTGATCTGGAAATATTAAAAAATGGTGAGAGCAGCCCATTTGTAAATACAACTGCCTTTGGTCCCGCATACAAGGTTCTTATCCATTTACAGAAATTAGCACCCAGACCAAATTTCGCCAGAGCAGTGAACAAAAAGGTCCATTCTACCCTGTGGAAGGCCTTCTGGGCATCCAAAGATATCGCCAGCACAGGATCTTGATTGTTTCTATTCATCCATAACAGATGCAATAATCTTCTCATATTGTCAGACGCAGATCTACCTTTGATAAATCCCACCTGATCTTTATGAATAATTTGTCTCTAACCTTGTTGCCAATACTTTTGATAATATTTTACAATCAACATTTATTAAACTTATTGGTCTATAATTTGCTGGGTCAGTTAAATCTCTGTCACCTTTTGGAATTAGTGATATTATTGCCTGATTAAAACTCTCAGGTAGTAACCCATTTTCAAAAGCTTCATGGAGTACTTCAGTTAAAAGTGGGCAAAGTATATCCACAGACTTAAAATTCAACTGCCGGGTGACTTTCCAGTTTTCATCATGCCAATAGCTTTTTTAACTTCAGCCTCCGTTAGAGGAGATTCTAATTTGTCCTTTCCCTCTTGTGAAACCTTTGGTATTTAGTCTGGTTGATCCGTGCTGACCACATCCTCAGATGTATACAGGTTTTAAATATATATTTTTTGGGCTTTTTGCCTTTATTTAGAGCAGTAGAGAGGGAGACAGGAAAGGGGGTAGAAGAATGAGGGAGAGACCTGCAGCAAAGGGTCATGAGCGGGACTCGAAC